CCTGAGCTTCAGGTCACGGCTGCATGTTAAGGAGTAACAAGCCCCCAATTTCCACCTCAGGGAGCACAAGGGGCTCTGCCATGGCTCTTTCGGGTTCCCCGCGGGCGGGGTGCGCCCAGCGGGGCAGCCAAGGACCCGGCAGTGCAGCACCGGGCAGGGGGAACCGTCCGCTCCTCCGCCAGGTTACTCGTTCAGCGGCCGCGCCGCTCACTTCGGGCAGAGGTCCCGGACGCGGAGCCGGTTTACGCACCGTCGGCGGCACTCGGCGGCGCGCCCGCAGGAAACCCCGGCGCTGTCAGCGCGGTGACAGCCGCGGGGAACTTTGCTTGGGGCGCGGCGCGGGCCGGCCGGCGGCAGGGCCGCTCCCCCGCGGGGGGCTCACCGGACCGCTCGTTCCCCCCCGCCACCGGGACAAAGGGGCGCGTCCCGGGCCGGGAACTGACGCTCCCCGGGGGCACCCCCGGGGACAGCCGCCGGCGGGGCAGGGATGCAGTGCCCGGCGCTGCCCGCCCGCCCGCCGGGCCCCACCGCTCACCATCCGGGAACTCCCGGTCGCTGATGTGCTGGAGGTGGGGGCCTCCGCCGCCGGGATCCGAGTCGCCGGACTCGGCCTCCGCCGATCCCGAGCCGCCGCCGCCGCTGCCGCCCGCTGCCGCCGCCGCCGCAGCCTGGTACACGTCCGCCCAGCGCTCGGGCCCAGGCGCTGCCCCGCCGCCGCCGCGGGCCCGGCCGAGCTTGGGGCTGGCGTCCGGGGATACGCAGCAGGTGACGGTGTTGCCCATGGAGCTCGGAGCTCCCCCGCCGGGCCCCGGCTGCGCGGCTCCCGGGCTGTGGCGGGGGAGGGGAGCCGAGGCGCCGGGAGGGCGGGGGTTGGGAGGGCCGAGGGCGGGGCGGGGCTCGGCTCAGCTCCGCATCACCGCCGCCTCCACCCGCCCCCACGGCCGCGCGAGCCCCCCGCCGCCTCCTGCGCGCGGCCACCGGCGGCCCTCGCGCGACCTGCCACCACGCCGCCACCGCCACCGGCTCGCCCTGCCCCTCTCCTGCCCCCCACGCGCACGCACAAGCAGCGCGCAGGCCTCAGCGCCGCCTAGGCCACGCCCTCCTCGGCACGCTCCCTGGCGTGACCACGCCCCCTCTCCCAGTCCCCGCGCGTCTGGGTCGGCCCGGGCCGTCGTCCACGTGGTGCAGCTGCGGCGTTGAAGTACGGTAGCGCTATAATAACGAGAGAATGGTTTGGGTTGGAAAGGACCCTGAGATCATCCAGCTCCAACCCCCTGCCACGGGCACGGACACCTCACACTAAACCTTGTCACTCTATGAAGGCATTAAAAAATAGTAATAAAAAAGCAATAATATGGTATAATAAACCAGACACGTGTATAAATAAATAATAGTACTAGCAGTACCCTGCCTGCATGCTGTGTGTTGCCTCCACAGTGCTTATGTACAGCAGTCCAGGGAAGCTCAGTGCAGGATGTAGGCAGCCGTGCTGCTGCACTTGGTAGTTTAAAAGGCTGTTTGTGATCACACTGGCTCTTTACACCACCTGGCAAAGGTTTTTAAGAGCTCCTGGGTTGCTCTGGGGTGTTTTGCCCTCCTGTCCCCATGCATCCTAAGTGGGCAGCCCGTGCTTCCAGGTGCCAGGATGGGCTGGGGGCCGCAGCAGCCACCTGGGAGCTCTGTGATCAACTCTGATGACTTTCAGTACTTAAAAGGGGCCTGTAAGAAAGTTGGGGTGAGACGTTTTAGCAGAGCCTGTTGTGACAGGATGAGGGGTGATGGTTTTAAACTGAAACAGGGCAGATTCCGGCTGGACGTGAGGAAGAATTTTTTTACAATGAGGGTGGTAAAACCCTGGCACAGGTTGCCCAGAGATGTGGTGGATGCGCCATCCCTGCAGACATTCAAGGCCAGTCTGCATGTGGTTCTGAGCAACCTTATGCAGTTGAGGATGTGGCTGCTCGTTGCAGGGGGGTTGCACTAGGTGAGCTTTGAAGGTCCCTTCCAAACTGTTCTATGATTCTGCGATTTCATGACTTCAATGTCCCTCAAAGCAGTTGAGCATAAGCAATGCTGCTCGCTTATGGCTTACATTTGCTGCTCTGTGTGTTACCTGCATGCAGCCTGGGGATGAAACATTACATGTGGCCGCTGGGATTCCTGGGACTGTAATAGAGAGCCTCCAGCACTGCTGCATTTTTGCTTGGTGAATCTTGGCTACCTGAGAGCTGCTCAGAGGACTGGAATGCTCAGATACACTCCAGGGAAGACAGATTAAAGGGCAAGATACCCAAAGGAGTCAGAGGCCCTGATAAACATGAACATAGGTCATTCTGCAATGGATCACCTCACTATCGCTACAGAAATTTAACTCTGGCTCCTGATAAGAAGAATGGCTCTGCAGAAGACTTAAGAACACACAAAGTATTACAAAACACTGCTATCATGCTGGCAGCTGTTCCAGAGATAGGTGGGCTTGGGGTTTTGCTCCATTTTGTAGGACAAATCCTAACACTGGCTCTCTCATGTGATCATGAGCACAGTTTTCAGACAAAACCATGGGTGGTTTCTTTGAAGGGAGGCAGTCACAGGTGCTGCATTTCTAGAATCTGTACAGCTTAATCCCAGGCACAATAAAGGGAAGAACTAAATGATTTATAATCTTCTATGAGGATTACTCCTTCAGACTGGTGAATTATACTTTCCCACTTCTGGCAAATTCTCTAAACTGCGCTAGCTAAGCCTCTCTACACGCTGCTGACAGTCTGTAAAGCCTTGTTACTCCAGAGAAATCTGACCTCGCTGTGGATTACACGAGGGCCTCAGAGGAGATTTGCTTTCAGTGCTTTTTGAACCACTTCAGCCCAGCGTCCCTCCACAGCCTCTGTACTCTGCGTGGAACAAAGCTGTAGGACAGCGGGTCCTGCTCCCAGGTGTAGGAAGGATGGGACTTAACCATCCATCAGGACAGGAGACTCGCTTGAGTCAGGGAGGGAGAAAAGGGGCTTCATGCCAAACAGCCATGCAGAAGCCTGTGTTTTCTTCCCTCTGGCACTGCATCCGCTGATGTTTGGTGAGGATGGTGGGGAAGAGAAGAAAGGTGAAGAGTCAGTGTGGTTTAGTGAAGTAATTAATTCTCAAGCAGGAATAAGCTGGCTTGCATGGCACTATTTAATACAAACTGGGGTAATTTACCCTCTTGCCCCAGAAAAGCAGTTCCCTTACTTTTTTCACATGGCTGGCTCTATGTTAAGAGTGGCAGTGCCTGAGCAAGCTGCACTCCTGCTGTACTCTGACCTTGTCCAGTGGCTCAACGCCGGCAGAGGAGAGCCTGCTCCATGTGGAGCGATGATAGGAATCACAGGCAAATCGGCACATCTCAGCCACACAGCCGTGATGCTGAGCATCCCATTCCTTAAACTGTGTCCATCCTGTTCCCTGCAGCTGCACCAGCACATACGTTGGTGCTGCCTGTCTGTGGTGGAGCTGGGACCTCTGCTAAGCCTGTGCTTTGGAGCAGCCTCAGGGAGCCCATTGCCAAAGCTGTGGTTTTGGGCAGTGGAAAATCCTTGTTTAAGGATGCAGAAGCAGTGAGCATGAGTGGCTTACCAGGCAGTTGAGGGCCAGGGCCCAGCCGTTGAGGGCAGTAGCCAAAACGCCACATAATTGTCCCAATAGATGAAAAATGCTGGGAACGTGGAGTGGCTGGAGTATGCGACGTGGCTGTTTGCTATGTGGGCATGAAGGTTTTAGCTCTTCTGTGTCCCACAGGCTGAAGTTTCCCATGGGTCTCATACTTGTTCTCAGTGGTAATGCTGCAAAGGGGAAGAGAGAAGGGCTGCTCTTCCCCCACGCTAGCGCTGTTGTGCAGCATCAGGGTTTATACAAACATGCAGAGGGAGGAAAGAAGTCAGTCTGCTTCCCTGTGCAGCCTTATTCATGTAGGTCTTAAGCAAGAGGAAGCTGAGTTTAATCCCTGGAAATCACAGAAACAGCAAACTGTCCCACCTCCCCGTCATTCCAGAAGAATTTAAGCTTCCGCTTCCACATACCTCAGTACACCACTGAAGAGTATTTTTCCATATCCGTGCATGTTTGCCTGTAGCTGCAGCAATGAGGAATATTCATTCCCCCCTCCATTTTGGCAAATGAACTCTTAAAATCTTAATACTGGTCTGATTTATCAGGATGATATGACAAAACCTGTTGCTGTGCATATTTTCTGCAGAACCAGGTGATCCTGTTAATAGGAACAGCCTGAGCAACACCCTGCAGAGATGAAACACATTATCTTTTATTCATGTAGCTTAGCACTCTATTGACTTACTGCTCCAGCGATATCCTGAATACCATCTATCATGATTTACTACTAGTCCTGTTTCTCTTCCTGTTTTCCATCTTGTCTTCCTACTGTTTTGCTTGATTTACCCTACTGAATCATCAGACAGCTTCCATTATAAAGGAATCAATTACTTTGATGTACAATGGGCAGCACACACCTAGTTCCACATTTTCCATAAGCAGGGTTTTTGGATGGCAGATCTTGGCAATATCAAATACATAAGCTGAAAATAGCTTAGTACAGACCATTGGGATGCAGCCCCTTTTTCCTGCTGCTCCAGGAAGAGAGGTCTGAGCCACGGGACCCTCAGTTGCTGCCCTTCTCTCAGAGCAGGGCACCCACTGGGCAGCACGCCCTCTCACAGATACCAAATACTGTGCTTTTACATAACCTGTTGCACTGAACTGTTTTCCAGTCTTCCAGAAGTGTTTCCCATTAGTTGCAGCATTCACCCCCCTCCTGGTTCCAGGGCTGTCCTGGTTCCCCAGGGCTGCGGCCAGGGAAGGGCAATTCCCAATGCAGATGATGGTGCAAGGGAGGTGGGTCAGTTTTATTGAGCTCTCCTGATTACAGGGCTGTCCCATAAAGATTACTAACTCCTGTTGCAGAGTAGCAATAAGATTGTCCCAGGTAACAGGGGAGAACTAGTGCTATTCCCAGGGAGGAGCAGAGGGTTACACTGGGAAGCAACAGTCCCACTCATGGCACCGCATGTTGTTTCTGCACCTTGCTTGGGAAGGACACTCCAGCTTCAAGTTGTAATGGGTGAAAACTGCCACAAAAGAGACTTGCAATTGATGGAAGTGTGTTTCATGGGTGTATTTGCTTGTTCTCTTTGAGCCAATGGCAGGCACTTGGGAAGAGGCCTGATCACAAGCTATGGCCTATTTGGAATGGGGCTTGAACCTGCATGTTTGCAGACAAAATTCAAACAAATCAGAAAGAACTCGTGTCATCCTCTGCACTGGGCAAACACTTCTTAAGATGGTGAAAGCTTTTTATTATGGGATGAGAACACAGTTTATCGCTCAGCTTTAAAAGCATGCAGTATTTGTAGTTTGGATTAGTGCTGAGCATTCATGCTCAATTAGCCTGATAGAGACTGTGTTTAGTTTTATTTGAACACTGCCTTGGCGCTGCATTTGATTAGGATAACTCAGGCAACGAGGGCACAGACCAAAGTCCTGGAGTTTAGGCAGGTGTGAGCCTCGAATGAAGGCATTCTGGGCTTTTTTAGTTTTCTCTCTTTTCCTGTTTCAGTTGCAGGTGACACCTAACAGGTTTCAGTCACTTAAGGGAAAGAAGGATCAGCACAAGGGTCGGAGTAACATCATTAGTGTCCTTACGTCTGTTCCTCACAAGCATCCTGCATCTTTCTCCCAGGGAGCAGAGAGGAGCAGAGCAGCTTTTGGCTTGTTCTGGCGTTGTAGGTTTGCTTTCTTTTGATTTCAACCTGAATCTTGATTTTATGAAGATAAAAAGTAATTCTCAAAGAAAATGTGACCTACATGTAACCTACAAAGTAATAGCTCAAAGGTACTGACTGCTGAATGGATGCCAACATGTGTTAATGCTAGCGCAGATAGGAGTTTATAAATTTGGTACTTAGTGTCACTATTCCCTAAAGAGAGCAAGTTCGTCATACAGCCTTCATTCCTCCACCATGGGATGGCTCATGTTGAACGTCTAATAATGCATGGTGGGGAGAGAGTGTGTTTGCTTGAATTTTCACAACGCAGAAAGCAACTTTTCAAACTGTGGGAACCGAGTCACAATTTAAGCCCTCTGGGGAAGCTGCTGTAATTGTAAGGAGAACTCCACACAGACCGTAAGGAAAGCCAGGCAGGACCCTGAAACAAAACTGAAGTCAGGTTGTGATGACAGCTGAAGGAGGAGCAACCTTTATGTCTGAGATGCAGAGATGGAAAAGACCCATGATTTATTCTGAAATACAAAGGACCAGATTAAGTCCTGATGTGCGTCTAAGGAGGTCAAAGGAGCTATACCAGCAAGGAACTGTATCCCTGCCAGCTACTGACTGCAGCTTCTGGGCTGTAAGCTTAAGTAGATGTATAATTATTTGAAGGGTGCATAATAACTGAAGACTGCCAGGCTTGACAGGACTAATGTTAGTGCTACCAGCTGTGTTTTGGCTTGTGGGCTTACAGGGGAAGATAATTGTCTCTTTACTTGGCCTGTTTACCCTGTACATGTAAGCCGCTGTCTGCTTGTGTTCAAAGAAGCTCCACTTCTCAGACAAGTCTTTACATTTCCTGTGATGGTTACTTGCAGGTAGATTTGTGCATGTTTTTATTTAAGCCCCTCCCTGAAAGCTTAGAATTTACATTCATAAACACACAACCCTGTAGTCCCTTGCTTCATAATGCAAAACCAGGCCTCCCTTCATCCGTGAGCAGTATCCCTGAGAGGAGATGTCTGAAACCATAGTTACCAGCTCCTAACTGAATAACAACTCTTGAAAAATTCCCAAATCCAAGGGAATTTTTCTTCTTGACTACACCAACTGCAACATGAAGCGGAGTCTCCTAACATGCTAGGAATGAAATTGCAGGATTTTCCACAACCATCCAGCTTCACAGTCACCATCAGTCCCAGAAATGGAGAGTAGCTCCTTGCAAATGTTCAGTTGTGCTTCACTAGACCAAGAATCTTAAATCCTGTAAATTCTGCTGTTATCTGCACCTTGACTTAGGGCTGTACATGCCTCTCCAAGGCCATGTGCCTCCTTGCTTGTCTGCAGGGCGATAACACCAGCTCTGCGATGTGTTGCGTTCAATTCCTTCTCTTCTTAGAAAGTGTCCCAGCTGTGGGAGAAGGAGTGCTTTCTGATCTTCCTCTGAAGCAGCCTATGGATAACTTGGAGAAGAGCCAGGACTTTGTCTTTTCCTGGAAATGTAGCTGCAGGAAGAATGAATCACCAGGTTGAACCTGTATAACCAGCTGCAAACAAAAGCTCAGACTTCTGTGTCTCACTGTTACAAATAATGGGGGGAAAAATAGGCATCCTGTTTTGAAATCCACCACCAGCTGACAGGACAAAAATACTGCATGCCTGATCGTCTTTTGAAGCTGATAAGTAACATAAGACTATGGCCATTTAAGGGAAAAAGCTTGAAGCAAAACAATAGTTAGGGAAATAGTAAATCCCAATGTTTTGGAGGAAACAGAATAACCAGTGAGGTTGTTCCGAACACACAAGATGGAGTTTTAGTAGCCCTACATTTTCATGCTTTAAAATCTTCTGCACTACCCTTGGCTAGTAGTGAGTCATGCAAATCAGGGCCAGGAGCCTCTGTTTCATAGCATAAGGAGACTGCAGTGCTCGTGTCATTGATTAAATCCGTCCTTTGCCTCTGCAGCAACCTAAGATGTCATTACAGGCAATGCAGAGGCTTCTTGCTAGCATGCGAGCATCTGGATCACTGCAGGGATACCAACAGCACAGACATGTGGGAGTTAATGTTTCTTTACCTTAGCTTCTCTTTTCTGATCCAACTTCATTTTGTTTTAAGGCAAAATAAAACCAGCTTCACAGTTATCAAAGGCTAAGGTAGAGTTAATGGAGACTTAGTTCCTGAGGAGAGAATTTGAGATGGGCTGAAGCCAAGAAAAATAGAAGCCTGCAAAGATGTACTTTGTATGCTCTTGGACAGAAGGCTGGCAGAACTACTGTTCTGATGTACCAAGCGTTAAAAACTGCAGGTCATGGGTATAAATTTCCTATGAGGAAAAGGAAAATACTTTCCAGTATTTTAACACAAACATTAATATGAGTGTGTAACTTCATTCAGAAGCACCAAATTGCATGCATAAGCCCTGCAGTAAGTTTGTTTAGGGTAAACTTCTAAAGGTTTAATTCCAACCCTGGGACACCAAAGCCTGCAAGGCGGCTCCTGAGGAGCCCTTTCTGTTAGCTTTGAAATTGCTTAGGCTTGACTTTTCCTCCTCATCCATTGTCTTTCTTTCTAAGGAGCAGAAAAGAGAAACACTGCCAATACCATTGCAAATAACACTAAAACCTCCATGTTTTTTCTAAACTTGGATCTTCATGGTTTTAAAAAGGTAAGCTCTGCATTGAGGCAGATGCTTTTGTATCTATATGAATGCTGTAGCTGTTGTTTGCCTGTCTCTATAATTGCTTTTAAATTGTTTTAATTTAGCTGTTGTTAACAAGTTTTAAATTAATACAGTGCATTGCTTGCACTGTAATTTCCCCTCCAATTATCTAACATGGCTCCTATAAAGCAAATCTGGCCACCTAACATTAAGCCTATAGAGCCACAATCAGACCCCATCCACACTCAGTGTTTTGCAGCATTTTTCCCCTCCCCAGTATCCCACATGCCAGACACACAAGTTACCCTGGAATGCAACCACCTGCAAGGAGCACAGAAGCTGCTGGGAGAGGAGGGCAATCAGAGCACCGTGCTGCCATTTCCACACCTCTGCCCTGTGCCCACAGTTCCCACAGTAGAAACGCTGGAGCAGCCCTGCCCAGTGTGCAGTGATGCCTGTTCATGCATCTGTCTCCCTGCAGCGAGTTCAGGACTCTCCTGTCACAAGACCTGGCACACGTTTCCTCGTGGCCTAGAACTCCAGCAGCTGGAGACATGGGTAAGGCTGCAGGTCTGCAAAGAAGAGCTTACTCATTTTGCTTTTTGTTCCTTAATTAAAGCTTCAGAATAATGTCAGCTTTCAGACCTGCAAGGCCTTCGAGAGATCAGTCACAGAATTCCACTAAAAGCAAAGTGATCTTTCTGTAACAAGACATCTTAATAAATGTGGTGATTACGGATGACAGCTTATCAAGAGGTGAGGTTGAAGGCGTGAATGTAATGTTACTGACTCCTCCCTCTTCAGAGGGTCCAGAAACTTCCTGCATTTCAGTTCAAGCACTTACAAAATTATACATCTTTGTACTTTTGATCATTACTTCCACTGCTTAATGTAACTCTGCATGTAAAGGAAATGACATGCTTGATCAGGCCATACATTTGTTTCAATACTAAACATTTCTTGCAAGGATCTTGCTGAAGCAGCGAGTTATAAAAGGTCTACTGATAACCCATCACTTTCTGCAGAAACTGAAGGTTTTATTTGTAGTTCACCCCATTGTTTTTAAAGCTGATCCAGATCACTTCAAGATGAGGCTGTCTTCAGTCTGTAACTGCAAGCCATCATCAGCCAAATTAATCTCTGGTTTATTTCCTTTGTATTTAACAGGGCGTGATTTACCGCCCCATCTATCCCAGTGGTGTGGACAATCTGGAAGCTACTGCTGAAGACAAAACTGTAAGAAGTGTTTCATCATTTCACTACTAGTCATTTGAATGGCCACTTAATGGTGACACTTTGGGAGAAAGACTGCTTTCCTTTCTGGGTTTCCAGCCAAGCTTTGTGTTAGCTGGTGTTGGTTGGGTTGATGAAAGCTCTTAGCAAAATAGATGCTTGTCCAAACTTTACTTCAAAGAGACGTTTTTCATATTTCACTGGAATGACAACCAGAAGTAGCTGCTATTTATTTAGAGAGGAAAGGATTGAATGTGTACGACCAGAAGTTTCGACACCAATGTAGAACAGAACCATTTGGAATGAGGCGTTGCTGACAGAGGGTTATCAACAACACAGGTTTCTAGATGTAGTTTAAAAAAAAGGTAAGAATCAGATTGTTTCTATTTATACCTGCCTTTGCCTTGGTAACCAGAGACTGCGTGAGGGATGCAGCATCTTCCCCACATCATAGATGGCTCCAAAATCCATGCGCAGCCATGCAGTGTTACATGCATTGGCTGCACAACTATCACAAGAACTGTCACGTTCATTTCTAACAGAGGATTTTAAATATTAAGAAGGACAGAGAAGATTTCAGAAAGGAAGGTATATTAGTACAGCTTCACAATAATCTGTTCTCATTTCTGTCTTATCTACTTGATTCTTTGATCTTCTAAGTAATACAAGGACCATTGCTCTTAAACACTTTTTCTTAACTATCCCAAGCAGCTTACCTGCATCTGAAGTAGCAGGATTTACTTATAATTTGACACATTATGCTGGCCCTATCAAGTAGCTGAATGAGGTAAGAACAGACTTGAATTGGTGTTTCCTTACACTTTTCTTGCTTACCTTATAATCAGCTGTTTCCTACTTTACAAGTTTATCTGCAGCTTAGGTGTCCTTACAGCCTTCTGCAGTGTTTAAAAGCTGAATCAGGCTATGTTCTTGCACCTTTATTGTTGTGCTAAGCTCTAGCCCTGCTGGGAGAAAAAGCATTTCAGTTCTGGGCAACTGTTTTAGCCATAATTCTTTGTTGTTGCATCTTCCTTATCCTTTTACTGTCAGGATGGGTGGAAGAAACCAAGTGTCTTTCTCTACCACAATAATACCCGGGTACTGTGTCTTCTTGGAAAATGGATATGGAAATAGGAAAAGCAGGTAAATATAGGCTTGGAATGAATACGGGGAATCAGGGCCCTTACTGAACTTCTAGTGGACCTGCTTCATTTCTAGTAGCTTCACTACTCAGTTATGATCTGGAAAGTTATTTCTGATCTCTTGTCTGAGGCTCGTGGAAGTCAGCGCTAAAGTAACATTAGCAGGGAAGATGGGGAAAATACTTCTGGGAAGCAGGGCAGGATTGGTAGGGAACTTGCTGGGCTCCAAAGATACTCAGGGATCTCTGACTTAGAAAAACATGCTCTTGGGATAAAAGCACTCCCTGCAGTATCATCTTTGGGAACAAATGTACACATTTTCACATGCAGCCTTTTTTCACTCTGGCTGCTATTCAGCCAGACCCTTGCTCTTATGAAATAATGTAGGGAAGACACCTGATGGGGGGGAATGAGTAGGGGCAGTGGGGGGCAGTTTGGAGCACTGGAGCCCTGCTACACTCCCCATCTCACTTGGAGATCTCAGGCCTGGCACATAGTACAGGAGATGTGGGAGAAAGCTTAGTGCCATTTGAGAGTTTCCCTCCATTTACATGGCGGTTGTAGTTTAGGCACAGCATAAGAGACTCAAAACTCATCCAAGCAGAGTTCTCATGTCAGGTATAATCATTCCCATTGCTTTTCCCACACTGCCCATATAAATAATTAAAAAAATCATTGAGATAATAGCACAAGCAGTTTCAAACTCTCCAAAGCAGCACTAGTGGCAAGGGAGCAGCACTTTAGGACATAAACCCACAGTAAGCTGAATCATCGCACCCGCTCTGGCATGTTTATTTGGAGAAATCTGAGTTGCCATTAGACAAGTATGAACTAGTTTGGGGCAAGTGAAATTCTGGTTTCCGTTCCCTTACAGTAGCAGAACCCTAAAAACAAGCTTTAGTTCCTGCTACCCCTGCTGTAGGAGGAGCCTGTAATGCTCCTCCACAAAGCCTTTCATGCATCATGAGCCACTCTGTTGAAATCAACAGCCTTTAGATGTAGCCACATTTGCATTTGTGTGCCAGCCAGATTTGCTGCTCCCTGTGGGAAAGAGTGGGGAGGATTTCTGGAGCTGTTTATGCTCCCCAGCACTGAGGGCTGGCTGGTCTTGCTGCATTGGTGATGCCATTGGGAGCTGCCAAGCCACACAGCCACTGGAGATGGATGCAGGGAAGACATGCTGCTCCCCTGCCGAGGTCCCCTGTGTGTGGCCCCCACAAATGAAGCCTAGCTCCAATCAGGGGCTGAGGAGCATGGCTGAGAGTCCTGTGCCTTTCTGTGGAGTACCTGCAGCAACGCCTCCAGGCAGCCAGGGAGCTGCCAGGACACTTCCCCGGCCCTCCTGTGGCCTTTAGCCACCTTGGAGCAAGTTCAAGTTAACTGGAGATGAAGACACACAAAGGAGAGGTGCATTGTGTTGTTCTGCCAAACAAGAGATTAAAACAAGCCAAAGGCGAAGAATAACCCATGCACAAACAATGCTGCAGGAGCAGCACCACTGCCGCCACACCACCCGCCAAGAACAACTTCAGCTTTACTGATGTGGTCAGTGCACAAGTATGAGTATCCCATGGACAGTGGGATTGAGTGCACCCTCAGCAAGTTTGCCGATGACACCAAGCTGTGTGGTTGGGTTGATACCCTGGAGGGAAGGAATGCCATCCAGAGGGACCTTGAGAGGCTTGTGTGGTGGGCTGATGCCAACCTCATGAAGTTTAACCATGACAAGTGCAAGGTCCTGTGCCTGGGTCGGAGCAATCCCAGGCACAGCTACAGGTTGAGTGGAGAAGAGATTCAGAGCAGCCCTGCGGAGAAGGACTTGGGGGTGTTGGTTGATGAGAAAATGAACATGAGCTGGCAGTGCGCGCTTGCAGCCCAGAAAGCCAACCGTATCAAAAGGAGCGTGACCAGCAGGTCGAAGGAGGTGATCCTGCCCCTTTACTCTGCTCTCGTGAGACCTCACCTGGAGTATTGTGTGCAGTTCTGGTGTCCTCAGCATAAAAAGGACATGGAACTGTTGGAACAAATCCAGAGAAGGGCCATGAGGATGATCAGGGGACTGGAGCACCTCCCGTATGAAGATAGATAGGCTGAGAAAGTTGGGGCTGTTCAGCCTGGAGAAGAGAAGGCTGTATGGAGACCTCATAGCAGCCTTCCAGTATCTGAAGGGGGCCTATAGGGATGCTGGGGAGGGACTCTTCATTAGAGACTGCAGTGACAGGACAAGGGGTAACGGGTTAAAACTTAAACGGGAAGTTTAGACTGGATATAAGGAAGAAGTTCTTTACTGTGAGGGTGGTGAGGCACTGGAATGGGTTGCCCAGGGACGTTGTGAATGCTCCATCCCTGGCGGTGTTCAAGGCAGGGTTGGACAGAGCCTTGGGTGGCATGGTTTAGCGTGAGGTGTCCCTGCCCATGGCAGGGGGGTTGGAACTTGATGATCTTAAGGTCCTTTCCAACCCTAACTATTCTATGATTCTGTGATTCTATGAGTGCTTCTACAACAGGTACCCAGCTATTGAGGGACCGCTTCCAGTCAGGCTATGCGCACTTGCAGACACAATGTTCACCATGCTGGCAATAGCGGACGAGGCCAGTGGGCTGGACAAACACCTTTCCTGGGCACTAACTTCCAGAAACCCCTGCAACAAAAGCCATGGGCTGGCACCGCAGAGAGGCAGCGGATGTCCCGCAGGGTGTTTCGCATCTCATACCTTTCTGCATGGCACGTAGCCCTCAAAATGCAGCCCCAGCCTCCTGCAGGAAGCAGTGCCGTGCTTTTTCCCTTTGGGATACTGCAGCCCTTGCCGAGCCAGCGGCTGCTCGGTGCCATGCTGCACGCTGCTGAGGCTGTGCCGTCCCGCACCTGCCCCGGGCCATGCTGACAGCCACGGCTTGCGTTCTACCCCCTCCTCGCTCCTTCTCCCGCCGCTGCTGAGGGCAGGAGCTCTCCGGAGACCTCCCACCCCGGGCCTCATCCCTCTTTACCCGTGATCGGATCGCCCTGCGCCCGCCGGCCGCGCCGCCACTCGGCGGCTGGGAGGCGGCCGGGGGAGGTCGCACCCGCTCCAGGCCAAGGCGCCGGGGGCCGGCTCGAGCGCTCCGCGGCGCCTGCGGGGCTGCCACGCGTGAGTAGCGGGCGGGCCGGGCGGCGAGGGACCGGGCCCAGCGCCTAGCCGGGCCCTTCCTGCTCTCGGCTCGGCCTCGGGCGCCAGCGCGGGCTGCAACGGGCCCAGACACGCCGAGGAGCAACGTGGCCGCGGCCCGCCGGGCGCGGAGGCCGCGGTGAAGCCGCGGGCGCTGGGGCCGCGGGCGCCGGGCCCCGCGAGGCCGCGGGATGGCCTTGGTCCCCTACGAGGAGGGCGCGGGCTGGGTAGCGCGGCAGCTGCACAGCCCTTCGGCCACATACCGCTTCGTCAGCCGCACCATCCGCATCAAGCAGGACTGGCGGCGGCTTGGGGTGGCGGCCGTGGTCTGGGATGCGGTAGGTGTTCGCACCGAGACAAGCGTTTCTGTAGTGATGGCTTCCCACAGCGCTTGCCCCGGCTTTCAGAATCACCTTATAAAACTATTCAATGTTGTATTGCTAAGGGAAGTCTTCCCCTCCCTTTCTCCTCTTTCTCCCCCCCCCCCCTTTCTTTTTTTCACCAGAAGTTGGTATTTTTACCCTTTTTCCCCTCATAAGAGATCCTGGAGGACTTTAAGGGAAACAGGACACCCAAACCCCTGCATGCCCAGTGCTCGATACAGAAAATACTCTTGATAACTCACAGAACTCTCACCTGTCAATCAACGGCGGCCCATAGTGTTCCCTTAATGCCCTTCAGAGCGCAGCACTGCTGCTTGTAGCGTCAAGGACTGCTGATAGACGTTATCTTGGGGATAAGAGCCTTGCAGAACAGAGGGGTTTGTGGCTGGTCCAGGTTTGCGGGGCAGTCCATTGTGGTACCGCTGTAACAGTCATAGGCTCCCATCGGTCTGGTCTCTGTCCACACACAGGTTACACTTTTACCTCTGGTTTTAAAGAACAAGCATAATTTTAGCAACCTCCTGGTATGAATTGGTGCACAGGGCTGGTGGTGTTTCCTAATGTTGGCTTTGACAGAACTTGCTATGGAGAGAGCTCCCTATCAAGTAAAACACAACACATTAGATGCAAACAGATAGAAGTTTACTTTGTTCTGTTTGTTTGCTTCCTTACAAACAGAAGTTGTGATACTTTACTTTCCCTGTGTCCTTCCTGACGTTGTGCCCATATTGTGCAGAAACCTCTTGAAATACAATGCAAGATACTATGAAGCCTTCTCCTGGACTTCTGCAATTCTGCCTTCATTGACCAGTGTTTGACACTCCCAGCTTTTCCTTTCCAAATACAGCTCTCTCTGCCTCCTGTTACATTTGGGGATTCATAAAGCAGTGCTTCCACATCTGAGTTGTAGCCTCTGTGGCTCTTTTTTCCTTTTGCCTATAAGAGTCTTCTGTAAAGCTCATAAAAAAGGCTGCACATGCACGCAGGAGGCAGAGAGGGGCTGAACGGTCTAGCTGCAGACCTGAAGTGCCTGACTCTTCCCATAACCTTCTCTCTCAGTATAAATCGGAAATGCTGTGTTTAGTGTGACTGAAATGAGCCCTGTGCTTAATTGCCGTTGTCTCTTGGCTTAGGCTGTTGTCCTGTGTGCTTATCTGGAGATGGGAGGCATTGATCTCAGGGATCGGTCTGTGATTGAACTGGGAGCTGGAACTGGATTGCTGGGAATAGTGGCCACGTTATTAGGTAAGGGCTTTTCTGTTTGCTTGCTTAAAGCAATTTACAACTGTACTCAAACTGACACTTTCGCATCTACATGCACGGGACAGAAGTTAGCACCAAAGCTACATATGTGAACTGTGATGTTTCCTGTCTGAGTCATCTTCCTTTCTTGTTAGACTTCAGAGCCTGCTGCATTGTTTATTGTAGAGATGGTGCCACCGCAGTTTACTTTATGGTGGGACCCTGTTGGGGCGGATGCCTGTTACCATGGTACTTGGCTCAGCAGCATTCAGTTCCACAGCCATTCTCCCCCAGGGAACAAGTGCTGTGCTTGTCTTCCACTTGTCCTTGTATGCAGCACAGATAAAGCTACAGACAGAAACCACTCTCTGAGCTTGTGTAAGCCTTGTTAGCCTATCTTGCAGACAGGAAAACCAAGGTCTGGAGAAATAAAGTGATCTGCCTGTAATCTGCCTGTGGCTGAAGCAGGGACTGGGCACTAACTTGTGCTGACTGTCCCAGGCTGACTTTGTAATTCCAAGCGCTAGTGGCTGTGGAAAATGCCTACTGAAATAAAAAAAGCAAAGCAGTTTGACACAATACAGTGATGCTGTGCAAATATCACACAGGCGTAACTTTTGTCTGACCTGTGAAACAGGCTCTCTAGACGCCTCTCTCCTACTGAACAAATACAGAATTGGAGCTGGTTAATCTTAACAATCCCTGTAACTTACTCTGTTGTCACCTATGGAAAGGCAGAAAGTAACTCCTGTACTTTCACGCACTAAGAAAAAGCTCCAGAAAATACTTTTTGCTCCTGAAAACTTGATCTTCATGTGCAGTACACCTTACATTCTTAAGTGACTGATGAAGGGTAGGATGTACGTAAACAGTGGTCTTTTTGCTTGTTTTGTTCTTTTATTTGTTTGGTTTTAATCAGGCAACTCAGGGGAGTTGTTAATGTTTAACAGGAAGAGCGAGCCTGCTTGACTTAGAGCATTGTAGTTCAAATGCTGTGTTTATGGACATGGACTATCTTTGAGGTGTATACTTCTGTACCACTTTAGGTGCCCATGTCACCATCACAGACAGGGCAGCAGCACTGGAGTTCCTGGAGTCAAATGTTGAGGCTAACTTACCTTCTGAACTACGTCCGAGAGCTGTGGTGAAGGAACTGACTTGGGGAAGAGACCTGGATAAGTTCCCCTCAGGAGCATTTGACTTCATCCTGGGTGCGGACATCGTTTATCTGGAGGAAACTTTTGCAGAGCTGCTGCAGACACTGGAGCATTTGTGCTCAGAGCAAACTGTGATTCTTCTTTCCTGCCGCATCCGCTATGAACGGGATCACAGATTCTTGAGGATGCTGAGAGGCTGTTTCTCTGTATCTGAGGTCCACTATGATTCCAATAAGGAGGTTCATATCTACAAAGCACAGAGGGGTAGTCACAAGGATGACTTTTGACTCTGTGCTTTGTTCGTAAACCACTAATGCTGTTCAATCCTCCCCTTATTTCTACTTGATATACTTGTTCCTGAGCATGTAATTGCAATTGTGTTATTTCACTGGCTTCTTGTTCTGATGGTCTTGTCTGATCATTTGATCTGATACAGCAAGGATTGTACTTCTGCTTATTGAATCTCTGCTTCATTTCTCGGTAGAGTTGTATAGGGTCTTCCACTGACTTTTTATCAAATGTAATGTTTGAAACTGATGTAAGTTGCAGAAATCTCCAGGCATCAAAAAAAGTCATCAAAAGATTTGTTTAAAAATCAAACCACACTCAATTTCTGTGGGAAGCCTCAAAAGAAATTAGAGTGGGGGTTTTCCCCGTATCACTTCCTTAACTCTTGAAAAACAGAAGTGGATAAAATATATAAACTAAGACACGAGCTCTAAATGCTCTAACACTTCAGGTATTCTATAAGTTGAAGGTTGTGGTAAAAGAAGCTACTTAAGGGAAAAACCAACAAAGGCAGCTGCTATAAAGTGGTTCTGTTGCTGTCACTGCTGAACTGAAGAGGCATAGGGAAACAAAGAACAAGATCAGGGTGTGTGTGTAAATCAATATTGCAGAGTAAAGCAACTTAAGAAATCAGTGGTGTTTTTACCTGACTTGTAAGCATGGAGGCTATGCCTGCAGTACCAAAGCAGTCATAGGTCTTGAGTTGTCCCTAACAAGAAACCTTGCTTTCGTACAGATCAAGGCTCCTTTAAGCATATACACATGGGCATGTGCCAGCACAGAAAGTGAAACAAGGAGACACAAACTGTTCTTTAAATATCAAATCAATCGTTGATTCGCAAAGTACTGGTAAATCATGTTCTGTCTGTCTCTGTGGCTCACTGTCTCCAAGAGCTGTTATTTAGGAGCATAGGGTGCTGCTGTAAAGATTTTGTAACTGGGGAGTACCTACTCTTGTATTACTTGGGAACAGTGTCTAGATGTCTGTGTGCTTTCTGGGCACAGTGTTCTAAGTAAATGATCTCATACCTTGAGCTTGTAAAAACACCTCTGTGTTTATTCCACAAGAGAAATGCTGCAACCTGGAATCTGGCTCACACCAGCAGCAGACTTCCTTCTTTCTAGTGGTGAAAGAAGGGACCTGGTGAAAACAATGGGCCAACAGAAGATGGCTACACTTCTAAATACAGGAATTGCTATAGTACCTTTTCCTTTGGTGGATGTGGAACTTCTTTTTTCTTTAAACTTAACTTACAAAGCCCCAGGATAGGTTCAGGCTTTAAGGATCTGCCTGTCTTTGTCAGTGGCAACAGCAAACACCAACAGTTGCTTTGGGCCACGGACATCAGAAGCTCTTTATCACTTCTGCTTCCATCAAACTTCCAGCTGGCAAAGATGCAGAGGGTCTATGGTCCAGAAGTGATGTGCAGACTGTAATATGGAAATGACACCATTCATCATTACAGCTCATGAATAAGGCCCGAAGATCTTGTGCTTCATCCCTGCTGTGTCTCCCGTGTGTTTTCAGCTAAGTTTCTTGCTTGGCTCTGGACTTGGCTCTGGGCTTGGCCTGCAGAGAGTTGCTGCTCTTAACACTTGCTTACAACAGTATCCTTAGAAGCCACATGGTGTCACTAGAACAGTACTTACGCAGCTGGCTGGGGCTTTGCAGTCTGAAACTAGCCTTGAAGTCCCTGTGAGGGAAGGAAGACAGCAGCTTTAATTAAAACCAGAACATGGTATGAGCTTTAGTGTGCCAGACTTGACCCTTTCTGCCCTATCGACTGCTTGAGCAACGGTAGAAAAACATTACCAGCTCTCCCCAGTCTCTTCTCTGGCTTTAGTTTTTGGAGTGCGGCTGTAAGTTCTCACCACTCCTCTTCCTTTTCCTCCCCACTGGTGTTTACTTGTGTCAGAGCTCCGCTGTGGTCACTGTGTATTAGGCTTTCCCAGGCTGGAGATGGCAGAAAGCAGCGGGCAGGTGCTTGGGCTTGTGAGTGCATGTGACTTGTCTGTGGGGAAAGCTTGCTATTTGGCTGCGCTGAGCCTTCTCAAGAGGCTGCAGCTTGCAGTACTGAGAGCCACAGCCATAGTAAGAACATGCTTGAAATCCTGCTTAAATAGCACAGAATAAAGCCCTGTGAAGTACAGAATAAAGCCTAGTGCGCGACCTACACACTTTTACGAAGGGGGCTTTGCTCCAGGCCTTGCTTTAGCAACAGGAAAAGTGTTGCACTTTTAAAACAAATCAGTTTAATTGTGTCTCCTTCCAATTGTTCAGCAGCTTTCAGTGTCTGTTTTCCCACTGCTGCTGTTACAGCCCGTAGCCTTCCTGCGACAGCAGGGATGTGCCAAAAGAGACCAGGCTTGGCTTCTTTTGCTGTGTTGGTGCAGAGCAGCTGTATGCAAATCCTAGGGAACATGTCTGAAGGCTGAAGCAATGCTACTGCCCATAAGGAAATACTCCTGGAGAAAAGGCACCTCAGGTGAGTGCCTTGCCTGCAGAACTGGGCTCTTGGTGGCCCCTCTGCAGCTCAGCAAGTGGCACTTTGGGGAGAAGGGGATACCCTCTCTTCTGACTGCTACAGGGGTGCGGGTGCTCATTACATTCAGGACACCAGACCCAGGAATTACAGTTAGGCCACCACCACAAGCACATGAGTTCTGGTTTTCTAACCTACAGTGTTCAGGAGCAGGCAGCACCTGTGAGAACACGGCTCAGCTGAAACCTACAGCCCATTCCCACCGGAAGCACTGCTTCCACACCAGCCAGAGAGCAGTGCCTTCTGTGTCCCAGGGTGGGCTTTGCAGCTTCTTTATATTCCCATCACACTTAGCTTCAGGGAGGTGTCAGGAACAAACTATGCCAGACATGGAGGACAGAAGTAATTGCCCAATGAGTGAACACACAAGAGAGCAGCCCTCTGCAACGGATGATACCTGCAAACTGCTGTCCTGAGCCATTGGTTCCTGGTGAGCTCCTGCTCTAGTATGAGATGACACATGGTAATGCTTCCGTGGCTGTTTGGCAATGACATAAACACCCTGCCCAAGCGCTGTCTATCACCCTGTTCATCCCAGTGCTAAAGTCAGTGTGATTCCCCTTTGGGTGGTTCCATTGCATCGGCCCTGTTTTGTAACAGACAATGTGAACTCATGTGTAGGGAGGATGTGTTTGGGCATGGGTCCCTGAATAGTGGGGCAATGCATAAATAGTCTCTTGAGAAATAAATACTCACCCTAGGGAGAGGATCCAAGTCATAGTGAAGTGACCAGATAAGACATGAACATGCTGTGAGATTGTGAAACTACCCCTGAAACACACCATTTGGCAAGGGAACAAACTCCTCTAAAATGTCACTGCAACCAAATTTATGCTTGATTACTGGGAGGACACAGAGTATGAATTTCAGCTCTGTATCTTATGGATTGAGAGCTTCAGGGTACAGCAGTGTCAGAAGAACAATGCTTAACTGCTGACCTACTGACTGCACAGGGATCTGTGTTACCCAATTCTTTTCAGTGCAAAATTCAAGCCAAACTGCATTTTTACCTCCTGGACTAACCCGTTTGGGATTCTCCCTCATTACTGAGATGTAGACTTGATGTAGTACGTGAATGGCATTATGAAAACACTTACTTGTGAAAACCACAAAATCCTAGCTGTAATGAGCCAACCTTATTGCTTCCCCTTGATTTCACTGGAGGTGTGTTTACCTTGGTGCTGAATTTGTTCCTCTGGCTTTCATCCCAGTGTTTGGATCCAGCCTTGCAGATTGCATAATCAGGTCATGATCCTTGCAGTGTTTGCTGCCTTCTGTTCTGCTCTGTTATTAACATCAGTAGTACAGGGTTTACAGGAATGCTTAAAAGTGAGAAAGACAGCATATTTAAACTGAGAGGGAAAAGCCTTCCACGCGTTATTAAACAAAGGGGCTAATTGCCACCAGAATGGATACTAGAAAGCAGGTTTACAAATACCAGGCGTGGAAGAGAAACTTTGTTTTTCAGGACTTAACCTCTCACTTCAGGATTTAACCTCTCACTAAATCTAATTCCATTTAATTAAGATTATAAAAGCCTTCCCTTTGGGGAAAACCTCATGAATTCTTACAGCAGGCCACAGATTGTGAGAGGACACCATAGTCTGCTCAAGATATGCCTTTTCCTGTATTCCTGTCTAATTTACACTAAATTAGTGTAAATGGAACATCCTGATCAAAAAAGAGACTTTGTAGAGTTTTTTAAAGCATGTTTATGTGACTGCACATAAATGTTTGTGTAAAAAGGGAGTTATGACAGTTTATAGCACAAAGGTTACAGTAAGAAAAAGCACTTCTTTATGACAATAATTCACAAATTCACAAGAATCACTTTAATATACAAAGCAATTACTACCATCCTGAAACACAAAGCAGCTAATATGTACATAGTGTTAATAAAATGCATTATAACCCAGTACAATTTTGTTTTAAAAAAACACAGATAAAGCACAAAAAAATAAGTAAAAAAAAACAAACCCAAAACAACCAAAAAACCAACACACAACAGGGATGTTTCTAGATTTTTGGGGATATGTAAATAAGAATTTATTTCCCCCCAAATAATGGATTTTCATTTAGTCTTTTAACTTCCACAAGTATGTGGGAGTCGAGCTCAAATACCCTGTTCTGTGCTGACATGGTGGGGGTAAAGAATCAGAAATGCAGATGAGGTGAACTTACTCTTACCAGCTTACATTACAAAGGGAGAATAATAACCCTCGCTCTGGAAGCTTCCCTGAAAAATGTTGTTCCAAAACAATTCCAAATTATAAATCCAGAGTAGAAACAACTGATTCTTCATGTGAACAACCAATCTGTGGACAAGTCTATGGAGGGGTTGGCTGCCATCTAGCACCTTTTCTTGCCCTGTCTCCCCTCCCATTCCTAGAAGTCCTTATAAGCAGCAGTTTCAAACCTCATACAAAACTTGAAGTTCTAGAACTTCTTAAAATTCATGTTTTAATATAAATAAATGTCATTACACACACAAAAAACATGGAGTGGCACCTGGATAAAACACAACTTGTGGAGAGCACCTGAACATCCTTAATTCTTGAGTGGCCATTTCCAGGTAACTAACTGCTTCAAGCCTTTCCTTCCCCGTGCTCTGGCTCAGCTATCCCCTAATTTAGAGAAATACATAACTGAGGCTGAGACTGGGTGAACTGACTGCTCCCAAGCAATGAGTACAGTACGTGGTCAGCGTACGAATTGTGCCAGCCATGGATCATTACAGCCTGCCCCTGGCCCCTTCACTGCCAGCACACAGCTCCTGAGGACAGCTCACTTCTGCCGCCTCTCACTGATGAAAGCGAGACCTGAGCTCACCACTTACACAGCAAGCCACAAACTGCACCTCCATTGCCAGAACACAAACAGGTCACTCTCTTCAATTTGTGCTACTCTAACTAGCCCAAGCTACTCTCTTTGCGGGCCAGAGCTTAAATACATTTTGAAAACACATTGCAAGGCAAAACTCTTGAAATGCAAACTCTTTACCAAGTGGATCTGGTCCCTTTTCTCCAAAGATGTACAGGTTTACACCATATCCATCCACAGACCTGAACCTGCCACAAGCACACAGTAGGTAGGATTGAAAGCAGCCTGTTTCTCTTCATCAGTCTGGCTCCTCCCCGACCAACTGAGCTTCATGATACATTCAGGTTTCTGCAAAATCAGCGTCTTCTACAGCTAGCAAATTCAAAAGCTCAGGGAAATGAGTTCCCAGGCACAGCAGAGAGAGCCATCAGTGTACTGTATGCTTTTAAAAGCTGCTCACAGTGACAGGTTTCAGGGTTATAGCTAAACTATCACTGTTCCTGCAAAAGAAAGGTGGTTGTGCTTTTCTCATGTTTTTTAAAGCAGGGTGACCCACTGACAATGTACCTTTACTTCCTGGGTGTCAAAGGATTGGAAAGCCTTTTGATTTACTGTCTTGGAATGCAGCTTGTAAAATCTGCAGCCAAATTAAGAGAAGGGGAATAAAGTGGCTGAAAACCAGTTCAGCTTTCCTTCCAGATTAACCTCCGTTTCCCACTTGGGATCCCTGAACTAGTTCTACTCTAAAAATAGTTCCACATCCATCCTGTACCTACTGCTCTGAGCCACCACACACTTCATACTTTCCAGTCCTCAGCGCTGCCAGTGCAGATCTCCTGCCATTCTGAAGTAATGCCTGCTGGATGCCAGGTGCTAATCAGCAAGTTAAATTTGCTGTGGGGAGAGGAGTGAATTGTGTGCAGGCAGCAGGATTACAATAACCGTGCCAGGGAGAAGCTTCTCAAGCAAACCCAATCGATCTTTTCTTTTGTTCCGTGTGTGTTTTTATTTTTATTTTTTAGAATGCTTTTTTTTTAAAAAAAGTGCACATTTTAATTAAACATTTACAAAGAATATAGTGTAACAAAAATAAATACATGACCTTTTGGTTAGATCATTGGCAAATGTCACATCACTAACCAGCTTCCGGGTGGAAAAATGACAATAAAAGCAGGGTCTTTGAAAACCAATGAAATCCTTGATGAATTGCCATAGATTTGCACTGATACTGAACTTGCTTTGATGGGGAGACTTGTCTTTGACCCACAAAAAGCACTGGCTGTCTTAAATTAAAAAGACATAAAATAGAGAAGCAGAGGCCAGTTTTTGCTAACAGAGGACTACTTGCAGCTGCAGGCTACTGGAAGCCCAAATGTGAAAGAAAAACATAGTACAAATTTAGATCAGAAACTCTCAGGGCTGTTTTTCTTTATAATTTTATAGTTTTTTCCTGAGCCTCTTAATGATTCCAAACACCCCACCAATTTTCTGATCAATGTACAAGTACCAGAGAAGCCTGGTCTAAACGCAAACGCCAACTACATCTCCTTACGAGAATGCCAGGCTAAAATTGTGCTTTCAGATACAAGCAATGATGCTGGTAACTACCTGATGCTGGTGAAATCGCTGCTTAAATTAAAACGCATCGCCACTACCCCAGGAGGAAAACCAGAACTCTTACCAGTGGTTCCTTTAGAAAACAAACACAACACCTTAACAACCTTTCCAATTGTTTTTGCCTTTGATATATAGCTGCCAAGGAGAAAAAAGCACAAAAGTGAATTATTCTGGGGGTGGTGGTGGTTGGTTTACGTAACTTTAAAAACCTCCATCAATGAAAAACGAAAACAAACCTCACAAAAGCCATGAAAGGTGAAATAAAGTTCTTGAAAACGAATAAGTGAGGAACAGCACAAAACAAATCAGCAATAAGCGCTCGAATAATGCAGCCCAGAAGGACTGGGGTGGGGGAAGCTTTCACACACGCGCACATCCACACGCACCCAGACACACACAGAAGAAGTAAAAATCTTTTCTGACCTCCATATAATACTCAGCATTCCTGACTTAAAAGCTCTCAGAGCTGTAGATTATATACTGTGTGTATATATATATATGTACATGTATTATACATATGTATTTTCCAAGAATATCTAAATTAAAAGAGCACCTCTGACAATATCTTAACTGCCTGATTGGTGCTGTTGTTTTGCAAAATAATGACATTACAAAAATTATATTTCAAATCAATTCTTGTTTATTATGAACATAATGGATCTAGCCCTTTCTAACCCTCTCTTCAGGTAAAACAGGCTATCAGTTCTTGAAAACTCACAACTGTGAGATAGAAAACTAACCCTCCCCCCTGCCAGCATAAATTCTGCCCTACTTCCAATGGCCTTAGTGTATAGAAGCTAATTACCCCAACCTCACTACTTGGTAAATAAAGTATGACTGGATCCCTGTGTCACGTTCTTTCCCTTTGTGAGTCAACATGAATAGTAAAGCAGGTATGGACAACCCTATACTCGGTCTAATACATTTTTATTATTGTCATTTCAAATTTCCATTAAATAAATTCAAGTCCCTAAATCCTCAGTGCAGCATAAATAAAAATAAAGACTCTTGCAGATCCCTATGCATTTTAAAATAACGTTCTTTTTTTTCCTTAATGAAACACTGGTTGCTAATGAGGTCTAGACTAGGAACACTACAGACTACTTGCAGACCATGCACAGCCAAACCAGTTACAGCTCTCCTCCCACTGCTGAATGAATTTACACCAACCCTGTATTAGAAGAACCCTGTCCAGGTACCGTTTTAGGTTCCCTGGTCCATCCAGCTCTGAGGCTCTGTGCCAAGTGACCATCAGCAAGCACTAGACGGTGCTCATTACCCACTAGAAGAGCTCTCAGATCGATCGCAGCTAGCCTCATTCAGGTTCACTGTGAAACCTCAAGTTTTTGCAAAGAGAAGGTTCTACATAAGAAACAGACTTAATGTACGCATGTACAGCCTTTTCCGTGTTTCTCAAAGCTGGAGGAACCATTCCATATACCTGTGCAAACTAGGCCATGAGCTTCGTTTTCCAAGAACAACTCCAGTGTTATCAACATTTCTACTTCAGCACTAGTTCTGGTAACTGCTGTATGTATTTGCATTCTCTGACAGTTGTTACAACAGCACTGCTGAGAATTTGGGGTCTTCTTCAAATCTGCATTGTTAAAACTGCTAAATTTCATCTTCCATTAAATAAAAACATGAAAATCAATTCTCTATGGCAGATAAAAATAGACAATTTATAAATCCCCTCAAAACTCATGAAAACGAATTCTTCAATCATTATGACATTCAAGTTCTCTTCCTGAAATACAAACATAATTTGAAATTATTGATAACTCTAGATTTAACACTAATGCTGTAAGTTTAACCTTTTAAACTCCTTTTAAAGTCTCTTGGAAACTGAATGCCCTCTCAAATGAGAAAACTAGAACTTTTAATACTGCTTAACTGTTTGAGACTCAACTGCCCAGAGTCTTCCAAATGGTCTTCCTATAATGTCACATTGATTGTATAACCTTTTAGAAGTTCACGTTTGAAGTCTGTCTGAAAACCAGATAGAGTGAATGGGAAAAAAGGTATTAGTTAATACTTTGCTAGGCAATGCATTAGTACATACCACAGTCTTATTCATTTATCCCTATACATAAAAGTTTGACCAGAAACCCAAAGTAAACTTACTCCATCAAATGACCCAAGTTGATTTCTCAAGAGACAAGCATCAGAGGGCCAGTAAATAAACTGCACATGATTCTTCTGGACACATGATGACTTCTTAACATTCTTCTGTGGTTCTTTTTGAGCATGATTCCTTCCAAGTCCTAATGCTTAGTACAGAGTTGGTTTTGAACATGAACTACTTTTTAACAATGTAAATCTGGGAAAGATCGCATTTCGTCAGTGCACACACAAATCACCTTGCAGACGTCTGAGGCGCAGGAGTAACTTTACTCACAGGAATAAATTACTTGGTAAATCTGACCTTTTACATGAAAAATAATCCTCAGAATAAATAAATTTAGCTAGCCTGGCCAGGTTCAAATAACTAACATTGTCGCTTGCAAAGCAGGAGTTGGAATATTTGTGCCTGAAGTTCTCTTCAGTGTTTGAGGTTGTCCTGGAAGTTGTTACACTACAGTTTAATTTATGTATGAAAGGCAGCCTCAAAGTTTGAAAAAGGATCCAGCAAACCAGGCTGATGTTTCCATTGAGTACAGTAATTTCCATTACATAAGACAGTGGCAGGGCAACAGAAATAACCTCAGTGTTTGAGAGGACTTGGGACACAGACTTTACTGTCACCAGGGAGTATGTATGTGGAGTTGGCCATGCTTCAACTGCTTAGTTGCTCTGCACACAACAGGTAGTGCTTTCATGTCTTACCATGTGGCTACTACACAACTGTTTTCATAACTTCACTCTTGTACCTTTTTTATTCTGAATAACTCTCCCATCCAAATACCATTTCCCAGACAATATCCTATGAAGTTGGTGTTTGCTTTTCGTGCATTCAGAATGCTGAATACACTTGCACACACATAAGCTTTGAGAAGCAACAACTGACCAGTGAAGCTCATTTCAATGCGGTTTGTTTCTGAGGTATGGAGAAGTTTTTACTAGTCCAGGAGGGCTTAATACAGATTACAAATCAAAATCCCTCCTGAGCTAGTTGAAAAAGGTATGCTGTCTCCATACCAAGAACATGACTCTGTAGCGCCTTTCATTTGGCATGCCACTTAGCTGTGTATTTTTACAGTTCATAATGAATATGGGAAACCAATTTGGCAACCAGTGCTTCTTCACTGCGTCATGCACGCTCCATGTATGTGGCCCACAGTTCTCTGGACCAAGAGGCTGGGGTGGTTCTGTCTCTAAGGCAATGGAAAGAGCTCAGCACAAATTCTTGACATCATTACAAAAGGACTCTCCCCACAGTAACTTTCCAAGTGAACACTGTGAGTCCTTGAAGAGGATGGGGAGACGAGAAAGAAGCCTGTTCTTCACGCAGAGATTGATGATGAAAATAATCTTGTGGGGGGGAGTGGAGGCAAGTACTTGAACATTCACAGTTTGATGCAAAGCACAGATGAAATATATTCTGTAGTTGCTTCAGGCAGTTTTGCGCATAGAAAAAAAGAAATGTTTAGAAAATAAAAAGTTTACTTTGTCTTTCTGGATATAGCCAGAACCAGTCTCTATCCCACCTGGACAAATGGGAATCCAAAATTAATCTGATTTGTGGCAGTAAAGGTCCTTAAGTGCTTTCAACTCCTCGATGAGTGTCTTGTTTTGGTTTTCAAGCACAGCCACTCGATTTTCTAGACATTTCACATACTCCTTTTTCTTCCTGCGACATTCACGTGCTGCTTCTCTGCAAAGCAAAAAAGGCAATTCAGATCCAGAATGATCACTTGCAGACATGGGCTACTTAACTGTTCAGGTCAAACCTTTACCCAGTACTGCCATTTTTAGACCACGGAGATATTGTTAAGAAATGCAGGTCTGGAAAAAGACACTGTGTTCTTAGCAGCTGCTCCTTCACAAATCACACACACTCAAGATCCACAAATCACTTCAATATGCAGATGCCAGTAAGTCAGCACCAATAAAATTCTGCTTCTGTGAGAAAAGGATACTACTCAATGACAAAATTCTGCATGCAGATTTATATTACAGCCTTCAGGCTGAGTTGAATGCTGCTGCAATAACTTCAGTGATTTTACTGCAATAAATAAATTAATAATAAAAACATGAATAAGACCATCTATTAATCTCCTTATAGTCTTGACTATTCCCTTTGCTGCAGTCTCACAGGATGCTCAACAGCTCCAAAAAAAAGCTGTATTTAGAGCTTTCATGTATCTGGCCTTGAGCAATACTTCAATTTTATTAATCATGTCTGCATCACTGCAACGATAATACAAAAGCAACTCAAAAAATAAACAGTCACTAGCAACCATATAATTCTTTGTCCTTGCCTGCTGTGCCAAGAACATGGCAGCATTAATGTGCTAAAGCAGATCTTGAGACAGTCAAACTTTTAGGTCTTGCTTGTAAAGACTGAGCTGCCTGTAGGTAATTTGGTAACATACTAAGGACACCAACAAAAAATACCTGGAAGGTGCTAATGTGCTGCTGAGCATGCTGAAGACAGTAACACCAAGGCAGAAGTTACCCTGCACTGCTACAGTAATGGTACCAATGGGCAAAGTAAGCACAAGCATGTGCTAAGATGGATGGGAGTCCAGGCGGAGGGCTCTCCTTCTGCCAAAGCAGCACACTGCAGATAGATACCGAGTGTACCTACTTCTTTGCCCTGAACCTTTATCTAGTGAAGCAGAGCAGCTTCAGGAGAGTCTAAGCGTCCCTTCACTGCACATACTACACAGATTGGTGATACAGTCAGTGTTATGGGAAATAAGAGACAAAATTGAACCCAGTTCTTCTGCTTATGAGATAAATAACAGCCGTAGTACTAGGTACAAAGAATGTCTGTTCCAGGACCTAAGGGGCAAGAAGACTCTAAAAGTAACTTCTGAAATTCAGCCCTACAAGTGAGACATGATGAAGAAAACCGCATTTGGAAGCCCTGAAAGAACTCAGGGATCCATTAGTTCACTCCTACAAGTACAATTTCACAAGCTTGCAGCACACGGGCCTTGTGCAACTTGTAGTAATTTTGGCCTGGTACTTGCGTCACCAAAGGATTAAGTCTTACTGGACCAGGAAGTGCACACTACTAACCTGCCTTCCTGGGTGACAACTTTTTCTTTCTGTGATTTCTGTGCCAGCTTGGGCTGCATATGAAGCCACCTCGAGTCTGTTTGCTTTAGTTATTCATAATGAACAGCTACAGTTATACTGAATTACAAGAGAGCTTTTAAAATGTAAAATTTACATAGAAAATTTGCACAATAATATCTATGAATATTTACGCTATAATCCTCCAATAAGAACCACCTCGCCATCTGCCTCTCTCTCCCCCTTTCCCCTGCCTTGCTATGGAGCCTAGATTTGCAATATCTATTAAGCAGGCAGGCTAAAAGCACCACATGCAACATGATACTGTTGCAAAAGCTCTCAATTTAACTGAAGTGGGGGTAATTCCCCATTGTTTTTCTTGGCTTTCCTAAACACAAAAGCTTTCTTTTACTGGAGGAAGACTGCTGACTAAATGAGGAGATTCAGAATGTTCATTATATTTTTCTCAAGTGCAGAGCCTGAAAGGGTGACATCTACTATTCACTGGTATCAGAAAAATATATAAAAAGGGGACATGGGTGACATTCTATATAAAAACCTTTTTAAAGTGAACTCTGCTGTTCAGCATTATTTACCTCATTAAAGCCCCTCAGATAAACCTTGGGTCTGCTCACGTAACTTTCTATTGTGTTCACAGCTCAGCAATCTACAGAAGATAAATGTACCTGTACAACATAGTTTTTTCTCACTGACAGATGAAGTAAAGCTGATTTCATGGGGCTTCCCCGCTCATAGGGCAGGGAATCACTGCAACACACCGGCTCAAATTTGTGGCTTGCAGATGGGAATTCAAGCCTGGCGTGATGGGTCAGCTCAGGCCCATCCCTCCCTTTCCTGCAACAGCAGCTTAAGGAGCATCATGCCCAACTTCTCTCTGCTGCTCCTTTCTTTCCCAGCCTCCACCAAGTCCCACCTCAGTAGGCTTGGCTTTTCCTCCTCACACACTAAATCCTACGGGGTCATATCTCCTCTCTCTCTTTCGGCCCCCCTGCTGCCACCATTGGTTCCAAAAGACTTCAAAGCTGCTCATTCAGCCTTTTCTTGAATCTTTCTGCCTCTGGAGGATAAAACCCAAAAGGCAAAGAGCTACACAGAACAAGTGAGACAATGAAGAGTGCAGGAAGGTCAGCAGCAAGGAGAATGCATGCAGAAGGCTAAGGCAGAGAATCCAGGAAAAGAAACTACATGAATGTAGTTACTCAGAAAAAATCAACTCAGCTCAGTGTTTGTAAGTACATAACTGAGGTCATTTAAGTCCCCCACCAGTGAGTATTCTCCTTATGGCAAAAAATTCATACACCTCACAGAATGAATCTGACACCTTTACTTGAGGTTTCACAGTCACAATACATGGCATTAGCAGATGCGCTTCTTTGTTTTGCATCTTTAAATGAAGGCAAAGTCTTTAGAAAGACTTTGAAAAAAAGAAAGATTGGGATTCTTAGCGCTTAACACTCCAGTTCTATGCAGAGCTGACGGGATAAGAAGTGATCTAAATATACATGCCTGTTCTTCATTAGACGCACTTCTCTCTTCCGCGCGGCCTCTTCTGCTGGCTGGGTCGGAAGTGCTGGCGAGGATGCCATGACTACGCCTGGTGCAATGGTGCTGGTAGGGGCGGTGCGAATCTGGTAAGTCTGCACATCTCCTGAGGCAGCTGAAAGGCATAAGGGAACATGATGTCAGTGTGGTGAAGAGTGCTGTTAAACACTGTGCCAAGAGCACCTAGTCTATTTAACCATGTACTCTGGGCTACATACAGGAGGAATGACCCTCATCTGGGTCATCACTGCTATCTCAGTCTTAGGTTTTGGGCATTCCTGCTGAAGAAGTCTTCACTTGTGCTTGGTAACTTCAATTGTCTCGCTGTATTGCTGTGCTGCTTTTTCCCCTAGTATATTTCTTTTTACTTCTCTAGTTTCTGGGCAGTTTTAGCAGTTTTAAGAAGATGAAGGATGGGACAAACAGTATTTCTAGCTATGCTCCAAATGCCTATGTGCTTACACACGCTGCATGTGTAAGTATTTGGCACAGAAAAAAGGGTGTAGAAATGTAGCATTTACCCCAACAAGAAAGAGACTGTGCAAACTAGCTACTTCTCTAAAATGAACAAGGTCTTGGGTTTCTTTTGTTTATTTATCTAGGAGTGTGTTACATTTGCCTGAGCTTGTAAGAAAATACAGCATCACCTAAAGAAATCACATGTTCTTAAGAACAAAAAAACCAGATCATCAACGCAACTACAGTATTTTTCTCAGCTACGTATTTTCAAGGATGCCCGGAGACCTCTTCACTGGACAACTTTCAGATCAACTGCTTTATAATTATAAAAGCAGGGGTGCACATTTCTGTTATTTTTAATAGACAGGTTTTTTTTATACCTCCCCAATTTTTAACAAACCAAACCATGTAATTTAATACAATAAAAACCCCCAGCTTATTCTAAGCTGAAGTATCCCCGCTTGCTCTAAGTGGAAGGCTAGACCAAATGATCTTTTAAGGCACCTTCCTAAATTACTCTCTGATGCTAAGTACTTCATGACTAGTCACAAAAGCCACAATAGGAAGAAATGATGACTTGCAATTGAAAAAGGGAAAAGAATACTTCTAAGTTAAAGTGTCCTTATAGAAAGAATCAACCAACCTTCTTTACTCACTTTAATGCTTTGCTTTAAGTTTACTATTGCTGCAGATGACTGTCTGGGAGAACTAAGAATTCTAAAGCGGTATCAGTTTTTGCAGAGATGTTAAAAAAAAAAATAGTGTGGACAAGATACAGGAAATACAGCATGGAAAACCAAAAATGAATACGTATTTTTAAGAAGTAAACCCAAAATATCCACAATTTTATAAGCTGAAGGGAAAGGCTCCAAGAAAATGTGACAAATAGTTTTGTCCAGAATTTCTTTTAATAACTTTAGAGACTTAATCTGTGCCAAAGCTGTTAATTCTGTTTCCTGACGTTTTAAGGAGTTAGGCTGGCAACTTGTGTCTGCATGGAGAACATGTTATACGGAATGACTGGCTGTGAAGTTTCTCACCTTGTACAACAACTTGGTTACTGGGTACAAGTATCTGTTGTCCATCTGTAGTCTGTGCATATTGTAAAATGGTGGTGCCAGGTTGAGTTGCAGCTGCATTGGTCATAGTCAATGTCTGGAGACCTTGTACTCCGTCTGTGCCATTGTTAGACAACTGTATTGCTCCTCCTTGGGTAATAGCAACTGAAGAAAAAAAATCAACACAGCATTTAAGACACTAATTTACTCATTAACTCACAGTTCTAAACCTAGATATGGCAGAATAATGATCTGAGTTAAATCCCCTGAAATCTTATACACCCCTCAAATCAAGACATATGGCTTGCATGTACATTAAAGAAATCATGCTTTGAAAGTAAGCTGGGAGTTATTCATGAGACCTATTTTTTTGGGGGGGAGGGACGGGGGGACCTACAGCCTAAAAACCACAGATTAGTTTCTCGGATAAAACAGCATCACATTGAGGAGTTACAATCCTCCCCCAGGAAATACTTCTTAATTTCTTAGTTAAGATGTTCTTCTTCATTGGTTTAGGTCTTTTCCATAGTCTTCTCACCTGTAATTCCTCTCCTTTTCCATGCTTTATGCCTTTCACTTTGCTCTGCTGCTACTGCTATCCATCTTGTGTTTCACTTTCTTCTTGCTTTCGCTTTTTTTTCCTTCTGACTGTATCCCCCCTCTCTACAACTTCCTCAGAGCCTTCCTAGCAGTGTTTTTGTTGATAAAGGTCCATTTTCCTTCAAGCAATCTTACTTGGGTGGGGTTTTTTCCTTTCTTTCCCTCAACCCTGTCATGCAGGTATGCCGAAACATCACACCTCATTTGTGATTCCACAGAATTTCACTGTGCTCCAATACACAGACACACCAAAATCTCAAGCATCTGCACAAGCAGGTATTTTACAGTTATGCTAGAAAAGCAGAGTTAACCACATCAGTTTCAGTAGGCAAAGTGGCTAAGGAATAAACAGAGATACAAAATTCTAAACAGATTTTAAGAGAAAAATACAAACAAGCAAATTCTTTCTCCATTTTGTATATTTAATACTCTGTGTTTGTGTGAGACAGCGTGTGAATTTTAGCTTTACTTCTGTATTCTCAAACCTTTAAGTTAAAGCACTCTGTCTGTGAAATACAGTGAATAAACACAGAATCATATATTTATTATGTATTTTAAATAAAGCTGCTGAAGTTCTTATTTTTCCAGGACTTTCTAAAAATGTAATTGCAGACTGCAGTGCTTTTCCTATTAATGAGGTTACAATTTTGTGAACCAGTATTCATCATCTGCCAGGAAAAAAAGAAACTTCTGAATTACCTCATCTGGTTCCTGAAGTGAAGTTCATAAAAGAATTATGGTTAGTTCATATTTTGCCTCAGGATGCATTAGCTGCACTAACTGGCACGCAGTCCCAGAATGCTAACTGATCATTTCAAATACTTACAACAGGAATGTGTTTAAAGGGCACAGTTATCAAACAGTCAAATTAAAATAACCTTATTTTCACCTCCTGCTTTGTCCTAGTCCAAACACTCATAGAAATAATAGTTCTTCATCTTCTCATCCCCACTTACTAGCACCACTGAGAAATTCAGACTACATACTGTACTGCCCACTGCTGGTTTGGTAAATGGGAGTTGGCACCGTAACAGTGGCGATGGCAGGTGCTGCTGTTTCCTCTTCAGACTTCTCTTCTTCGATCCTTGGCACTCCTGGAGCGTCTGAGGACAAGTCATTCAAAATTTTTCTGGCAAAGACAGTGTTGTAGAGATTTTAATAAAAATATGAGGAAAAAAATAGCCTATTTGATACATAGTGCTGCAGTAAACTGAAAAGTGCAGTACGCCAGCAAGGGAAGTACGGGTGCAGAATGGAAAACCTGCACCATCTTCAAACTCTTACGGAGAGGACTGTTCCAAGTGCCATTCATAGATGGGCAAGGGAGCCAGCACAGAACAGCTGTGTTTTAGTACACCAGACAAAGATGCCTCTCAAGGAGGTTCTTCTCAACCCAAGCATCAGCTGTCACAACCTTCCCTTTTTCTTAAAAGCATGTTTCTCTCTCATGCATTTTTACTTGTTTCCTGCTTTTAGCCACAGAAGGATTGGAGGAAAGCAAAAGTATGTAGAACCCTGTCTCCTCCCTTACATTTGGGGGACCGCTCCATTTCAGAGACTGTAATCACTTCAGCCAGAGAGCTGAGTATGAAGGAAGACAGCAGAAATGCTTGCTCTTTAAGCAACCAGTTTATAGTGTAATGCCTGCCTGGGAGGCAATACCGAGTGTGTTTGAGTCAAGTCACACAATTATGTTTACAGGTGCCCTGCCTGAGAACGCTGTGACAGTAGCATGGGTAAAGAAAAGAACATGTGGTTTAATTACTTTCACATGGTAATTATCCAAACTAAAAACTGCTTAAAACATCACTGCTACAGGTCCCACTGAACATGACTGTAGGACTGACCATAGCGGTTACTGCAATTTGCATCATTTAGACCAAACACTGTCCCTCAGAGAACTGTCAAGCCCTTTTCATTGCTGGCATGTTCTATTATGTCACTGCAAAATGCTACTCAGGTAAAGAGCAACATCTTCTGTAATCCTCCTCATATGTCTTCCTGTGGACTGTCACTAGAACTCAAAGTGTGATGAAGCAAACATAGCTGTAGACCCCAAGCTCCAAAGCAACACTCATTTCCTAAATAAGGCTCTATGGCTCTGGGAGCCAGAACATCTGTACAGAGCTATCTGGGAAGAGCAGTGATTCTGCTAAACAACTTAACAGACCAGAGCTTTGCTGATGCTGTTTTGATGGTGTGCATGCAAGAACCCCAGCTCTGCACAAGCACTCCACTGTGCCAAGCACCACCTGGACAAATGAAAAACTCCCATCCAGAGAGTCTGCAACTATGTGTTAGACCAGAAAAACCAGGGGACAAAACAGATGAAGAGCCTTCTATTCTGTAAATACATCTTGCCTCTGGGGCCAGTTACATCAGCTTGAAGAATGCCAACCGGGATCTTGCCAACACAGCACCAGTCTGGCTCATCTTTTCTGATGTGACTCCTGCCTTGGCCTAGAGGCTACGTTTGACAAAGTTCTGCTGAGTCACCAGGACGTGGTTTGAGGACAGAGGCTGTGCTGTGGCGTCAGTGTGTGCAAAGGAGCCCATCTCAATGAGAAGTGAGCATGAACAACTGCCCTCTTCTCAGCTTTGCTCCATGTTTGCTTAGCTCTGTTGTCTCACGATACACAGCCATTCTCCCATATATAGTAACAGCCAGTGTCTCACTGCAGAAGCAGACTGCAAGGAAGTCTGTGGAAGCCTTTAAGTTAGCAACACTGCTCCTCACAAATCTATTAAGGCTAGGGGTCTTCAGCAATGACCTTTATTATCTGCACCACAACAGCCTTAAAGACTGGTGGAAGAAAATAATCTATAATTGCTAATAAATGTTTGAGATATGCTCAGGCCTACAGTCTAGCTTATATTTCTAACGTTATGTTCATGAAGAAAAAAGGAGCATGTGAATTTTCTGAAGCTGCAGGAATGCACGAGTCACTTAAAACCGGAACTTCAGAGCTATTCCTTAACGCTATTTAGCATGCTTTAAGAATGAAAAATGAGATTTAGTACAGCCAGAAAAAGTTGTACAAGGGCTAATTAATAAACATGACTAACACCATGTGAAGGAGCACATCAATTGTTCTTACCACAGAAGTATTTGCCATGACAACTAAATATACCAGATGACTACCACTACATTCAGCTTATACCCTGGCTTCTTAAACTTTAAACACAACCAGTTTTGCTCAAGCTGAATTTTCCTCTGAGCCTCAGAACACCACATGTTCATCGAAAGTCTCCTGGGAGAAAGGAATCAAGTTTGACTGCTGCTAGCATTTCAACACTGATGAAAAACAACAGAGCTGATTTTTTGCAGACTACAGATTATACAGAAGCCACCTGCTTGCAAAGCTTCAGTGTATTTTATGTATTAACTATCCATTAAAGCTACCTATGGGGGACCTAGCACAATGATACCTCAGCATTTCACAAATGTGGCAATTAGCTTATTCTCAGCTCATTTCTGTCTTAACTGAGTGTAACAGCTGAGGTTTCTTCCTCCTCCTCCTATTATCTCTTTACATCCTATTCATGGAAAACACATTGAGGAAGAGAGGCACCATTAACGGTAAACTTAGAAATAACTATACAATCACACTATTGGTCTTGCCACATGAAGAACACATCCATTAAGCAAAATGCTTCTGCTTTTAAACTCCATACCTGTAGGAGGGTCGTCTGGAAAGGATTTCTCTTCGCTTCTGTGAGTCTGTGACACTGTCTACTGATTCCTGTGAATCTTCACTTTCTGCTATGGTGGAGATCTGTAAATAAGAACAGCAAACAAACTTTAACAAGACACTTCCAGTATCTTTACTTTAAGGAAACGTTGACATCCTGTGAAAAACACTACAAGTATTCTATAGTGCTTCTATCTAGTCAATGAACACAAAGGACAGGCTGTTCAGTAACAGATCCAGCGACTGATGACCTGACAATTATCTACCCATGAGAATGTTCTTTATAATTTAAATACTCTAATAAGAAAATATAAACAGTAATCTCATGCACTTTTTGTCTTCCGTGACTCCTTGTTTCCATCCATTTTAAGGAAACCAAGAAAGATTTTTTAGTAAAACTTGGGGAGAGAATAACTACAACCAAATTAAGAGAGCAGAAACGTTTGGAAACAAAAGAGCAAAATACACCTGAAGTTGAGAAACATCAATTTATAAATCACTGGGTAGACAATATCTTAGAGACTGATGCTGGGGGGAAATTGTCAGGAAAATGTCAAACACAAAGATGCTAAAAAAGAATCCAGTGCTGCAATTCTGAACATCTGTGCTAAAAAAAGACAAAGGCTTATGAAGGAAAGCTAAAATGTTTGTATCAATTACCTTTCAATAACTTTAAATTAGAAGTGTGCCACGAATGTAAAAGCATCTTCGATATATAAAAATAGAGACTGTTTTCCAGAACACTACACTCATGACAAATACACAAAAGCTAATGATAGTGAGTGGATAGAGAAGTGCCTGTGTGAGAAACCTACCTCACAGCCTGTCGTTTTATGCACTGTAGAGAATATTCCCAAAGGCTCAAAAAGGTTGCTGGCGCCCACATCTCAGTTATCAGATAAAGGGCCTGAACAGGTCCGAGGCTGACAGTGAGCCACCAGGCTTTAAATATTCAAACATGCTGGCTTTACACTGAGCCAGGTGAATTCCAAGCATGGTTTCATTGTCAGTCTCTTATCTTCCACCTCTGGGCTAGTAACTTATCTGAACACTGCTTACCACCAATACATTAAAACTTTAAACTTTTGACTCCAATGGCTGAGGGGGGTAGAGCCTGCCAGAAACTCAGCACTAAAGCTGACAAGGGGTAAACAAAGATTATGATAAGAATGATCTGATTTTAAAATGAAACATTTTTTGTGCTCACTGTACTACTAGCAAAGGAATGATGTACAAACCCTTGCCCTGTGTAGCTGCTGCGTGACAAGCAACTTCTCTTGCTGCATTCAGTACCACTGTGTTTAAAGTAGAGAATAAACAAATAAATAAATTACAGGTTTTACAGATCTCAGACTACTTGTCTCTTACGTGTTCAAGCTACCTCATCATGTTGTATTATCTGGCTTGCTTTATAGAAGAGAAGCTAAGGCTTTACAAGGCAAAGTTCAACAGTGAATTTTAAACCCATTTTTATGAGAGGACTGATACGTTTATTTTAAGGACCATTAACAAACAGACACCTATTTTGTAAACCAATGCAAGTATTTTTGAGGTAGCAAAGACTCTCATTCCAGAATATCAGCCTCAGTAATGATTAAAGATTATTAAAAAAACCCACAACATTTTGTTCACTTCAGAATAGTATAAACTCTTACTGAACAAAAATGTATGAAAATACAATGGAGACAAAAAGTAGAGTAATACTGTAAGAAAAAACATGAAGCTGTTAAACTCACTTAAACTCACTTACCAAGTTCTACAGAGAAATGAAACTCAGCAATGTTTGAAAGTGAAAAGTGGTTAAACCAGAACAGAAAACAAGTCACAGAGCAGCACATACTGTACAGAATTTGCCTTCAATATGCTCTTAAAGTTTATATAAGCAAAACCACAATCTAGGACACAAACACATTAGAAACCTGTGAACTGGCAGGAGTACTTGAAAGGCCCAATTCACGTATTAGGAATTTCTTCCAGCAGTACCTGAACTGTCTGGACCTGTGGAGACTGAATAACTGATGGCTGGGCAGCCTGAATTACTCCATGCACTTGAACCGTCTGCCCATTGGGCAGCTGAACTAAGGTCACCGTGGGTGCAGAAGACGTTGCATGAGCTGCTGGCATAGATACCTGCAAAAAAGAGACAGTGAGCATAGATTAGGTTATTATAAAACCTTCACATTTTACTACCAAGAACACACCGTGGTCAAAGAATTACATGTCTTCTAGACCCCAGTTACATGACCCAAATGTTTCAGTGTAATATAAACTCCCCTGAACTGTCTAAACCCAACATCTGACCTACTTCACGAATTAATCTAATGCAGAATTTCTGCAGGCTCAAAACATCACTTGTAAAACCACTGATAAAATGAGAAAACACAACTGCCCCTATTCTGAGGTAACCTACTAAAACCACATTATTACCTTTCGCTTACTTCAGTTAGATACTGCTAGGACTTGGGTGTACTCCTACAGACACTGCTGAGTCAAAGGCAGAAGCATATGGGAGTGGAGCTATTTTTGTTCCCACTCAAGAAAATGCAAAGTGCTTGCCAGCTGTATGAAGTTAAAATTTTTAGGGAGCTGCATCTTCTGGACTTCCCAGAGACTAAACCATACTGAGTAGCTGGAAAAGCCCATTTAAATGAAGAAAACTGATCATGTGGGCAGACATGGATTTGCAGTGGGAAACAAATGGTTTGTAGGCTGTTGCTGTGATTCAGTGTAACAGGTCAACACAGATTCTAGTCAATTTCTGTGAGGAAAAATTGCTGACATTTTGAACACTCAGCTCCTAAGCGCAACTTTATCTCTCCAGCACAGACCTGTAGGCACAGCAGCTATGCCAACAGGGATACACTAATGACTGCAGCAGCATACGTTAGCACTGTGTGCACAGCCACCCATGTCCTGTGCAGTGGCTCAGACTCTGATGTCAGCAATACCCACACAAAGCTGTTCACATCACGCAGGGAAGTATGACTCTGGCAGGTCACAGGAACTATTATGGGCAGCTGAAGGGCCATGCACCAAGGCTGCTATGTGGCTGGGCAGATGCCCTGGTGCACACCCAGCACTCAGCAACTCTCTGGTGACATGATACATGTGTTCATGGCTGGGGAAGGGGGGGGGGGCTCCTGAAAGGCAGGAGGGTGCCAGTGCTGCTGTACCAGCGTACATTACCCTCAGTTTGCATCTGACTCACACCATCACAGCCCTCAGGGAAGGACTATGATGTGTGAGCTGCTCTGGCAGACGGCAGCCAGACTACAGGTCACTGACTGGCCAGCCTTCGACTAGACACCCAGGTTTGGAAAATGTAACAATCCTCCAGTGTTCAATAGCATTTTCAAGGAATTCAACCCATGTAGCTACAATGTGAGAAGGGGCTGCACTGCTGTCCTACCTAATCTCAAACAGCTGCTATGTACCGGATGCAGAAGTAAATCCTCTGCTGTCCCCATGAACATGTGGTTCTCAAAAAGGTGCAGTAGCTCATCTCTGCATTTCCATAAACATCCACCACCTACAAGGAAATCTTGCTTAACAACAAAATTAAAGGGAATGACATGAAGACCTCTCTCCTCCACAGCTGTCTCTCCCTAATCCATAAACCTGTGTTTGCTTCTACCTTCCTTTTTCAGGAAAACAGCTGCAGCATTACATGGTGGTACTTAACTCCATCTGAGAGGAACCAGGGCTGAGATTACCATGAGCACACTTTCCTCTAGCAAATTATATTGCTTTACCAAGCAGCCTTTTTTAATAGTGCACATCTGACATTGCCAACAGTCCTTGGCAATCATGGCAAAACTGATCAACTGGAGGCTACTCTGCAACTGGATTAAGCCAACAGCAGAGTGTAACTTCTGCAGATGTCTCTGACTCATACCTTGTGGAACTGGAACGAGTTTCCTTTTGACTCTAAAAACTACCCTGAACTCACTAAAATGCAGCAATTAAACTAAGCTTACAAGAGGGGTGACCTTACAAGAGATAATGAAAGAAACAAATTGGCATAATTAGTTATTTAGATTTACCTAAGCCTCTGTTGGTATTTAAAATGCCATAATAACGTAACATGATGTGAACATGACAAGGAATCTCGTTTAGACTGTTGTATCACCTCCACAGGGAACATAAAGCCTGGGGAATAGCTAAGGTGCAAATAATACAGTGAATGACAACAGAGCAAATTAGGAAAAATACAACATATTTCTTTGTGGTTCATATGGATTTGAACCATAGCTGTGTAGCTTTTCCCTACTTGGAAAGAAATCTCATTCAAGTACTGGGGTAATTTTGACTGAGTGAAATGCATTCAACCCACCACATAGTTGCAAGTTCAGCTATCTGGAGGTCAGTGTGTTAGCACACGAATTTAAAGCATTCTTGCTTTTCTGGACTAAATGGTAATGCATACCAAGTGAGAAGCAGCTTACTGGTTTTGCAAGAGAAATAAACTACTTCCACTCAGTTCACACTGAAGTGTTAGTCACACCACCTACATCCTGTGCCTAAGTTAGACAGTGAGAAAACTGCCCAAAGAGGCAAGCTGGTGCAGGGCAGCTGGTGGCCTGTAAATTCACACTACAGCTTCACACAACAAAATCACCCTGTGCATTTTAACAGCTCCAAACCCTATACTATCACTTGAATGGAAGCGTACTAGATCTGGCTTACCAAAAGGTGTGAGGACTTTAAAAATACATTAATCATTTATGAAATACGTGATTTAACACCTGTGCCACTTAGAAGACACTCAATTCCCCAAACTATGAGATTTTAAAAAAACCTGTCTGCTGTTTGCAGGCTGCAAATAGTTTTAAAATTAAATGCTTACAGGAGAGAGCTGAACAGATTCTGTACTCATTTACACAATGGGGTTGCTTCTGCCAACCATCAATGTATCCAAGAATGAAACCAGGTTCCAAAATCAGAGATGCAGCTAGGTTCACATTTCTTGTCTCTCTGAAATAATTTGGGGATAATAAATGATCTACTGCTGTCTCCCTAAACAATTCTGTGAAATTCTGTCTCTCCAGCAATTCTGTGAAATTCTGGAGACAGCAGGATAACACAAGCTGTTGAATTGTTCCATTTGATTATAATGCTTATAATATTAATCCCATCTGCATATTCCCTGTATTATTTAGCTGTATTTTCAGGTTTTCCCCTCAGAATTAAACTGATTGCTATAGACAAGTTTCGAAAAAGAAAACATAGCAACAAAACAATCCAGTCAATATAAAAAAGAGTAAATTATATGTTTTGAGAAGAATACCTTTCAGTAGTATGGCAAAGAATGTTACACCATTCTATGGCAAAGAATGCTACATCATTATACATTACAGTGTAAACTGTATACTCAGTTTACACACATACAGTTCTTCAGAGCTAACACACCCTAGTGTGATGAGAAGTTTAAAATCTCTACTGCTTTAGAAACATGAAGACAAATAATAAAGGAACTATACATTGTACCTCTTTCAGAATCTTATCAATGGAACCTTCTCTCAGGCCCATGAGCAGACATTATCCCTCTTAAAAAATAGCCAATAGGTTAAACTATTACACCATATGACTTTATACCTGGGCTAACGTTGCAATCTGTGGTTGTGCCTGTACTGTCATCTGTTGGGTTTCTGCCTCTGTAACGGCTGCATCTCCACTCTGCTGGTTCTCTGCTCCAGATTCCATGGTCATTTAGTTACCTACAATCACAATATTGGTTGTAAGTCTGGGTTGGTATGCAAGTCCATTGTTCTTGGTGGATCTAGCAGCAGTCAGTGCAGCTGAATTCCCATTACTACATACTGTTTTCATTTGCTTATTAAAATGTTGCCAAACTATCAGCATTCGGGCAAAATACTTCCATGCCAGGCGTCTGCCTCAGGTTGGCTTTTCTGTGTGTCACGTTTCTGAAGAACGGGCCCAGTCTCTTCCAGTGATGAGAAAAAAATGTGGTTAGCTCATCTTAAAATGCTGCTTGAGCAAATGTACCGTGATGACCTAGCACCTCCGCAATTTGGGATAATGACCACCACTGTCAGGAAGGACACCTCCCTCGGTGCCAAGGGGACAGCCCACTGCTCTCCCACAACTGCAGTCTGCAGATAACCTTTAGCAATTGCTTCTGTGTTGGGTACTTAGTTTTCAGTCTTTTTCTGTGTGAACTAAATATGCAACGTCACCATGCAAATTCTTTCCACAACCAGCCTGTCCAGTTCTACATCACAGCAGCGTAAGTCTTCTCTACTCCGTAGTTTGAAAGTCATCAGACGTAATGATGGAAGCCATTTTTACTTGAACCTTAATGCAAATAAGTATTTTTATAAAGGTACATAGCAGTTTGTCATGACCTAAGTATTGTATAATATATAGCTCCTAACACACTTATATTTCTAAGGAATAACTGAGCAAGCCTAGATCACAACACACCACTCTATAAAAAGAGGTTGCATAACTTCCAGAACCATGCATGTAGGCAGAGTGCAATGAATGTTAAATTCTGCACTGATCTGTGAAAATTACTTTTCAGTTCTTCTTTAAATACTGATTATGAAAATATTTAATATATCTAAAAGAACTTCAAAATACAAGGAAATGCTCCCCAGGGTGATAGCAATATCACTGTATTATGCAGAACTCCAAATACCAGGCATTGAGAATGGATGTTACCTCCACAGCCACAATATTAATTCTGTGTACCACCCTGTGCTGCCGAATCTACTCAGGCCTCTGGCTACCCTAAAGCAGCACACCTATCTTCAGAGCTGGACCAAAACCACAGAGTAGAGCATTTCTGCTTGGGAAAGGGCCTGGAGGCAGAAGATGCTCAGATCAGAAGAAGGGTAGAAAGAAGGAGACGTGTCCTTCTCCTTGCTCAACTTTATTGCCCCCCCCCCATGAAAAAGACTTGTAAGTGTCAATATGGGTGGTGGTACCATGACCACATTCAAAACATTTCATTTTAAACACAGCCAGGGAAACTTTCCATTTCAATGCAAACTATACTTCAGTATTATGGGAAAGAATACTTTTTGGAGATGAGCTGCCCCAAAGCAGTAGAGTCACACTTCGACCCTGAGCATAATATGACCGAATACTCTGTCTTAGAGTAAATGATAGCTTTCAATAAAGATAAAACAGCATTTCACAGTAGCAGTGATTTTATCTTGCATCAAAAGAAAGCAAGTCAATGTACATAAATCAAAATCTGTATTTTCAGTTTTGAAAGAGACTGTAAATAAGCTCATGTGTCAGAACATGGGAATGTTTTAACTACTGAATATTTAGTTACATCATCAGTTTAGAAGCTCTTAGGAAATGAAAAGAAGGAAAAGAATTAAACCTGATCTTCCTTAAAAACAAACAATGACAGAAAACACACAAGGTTTTTTTAAGAAAAACAAACCCAAATTAAATTCTTTTGAGCACCTGGAATACTTTTATGCCATAATTTTTGTCCCACATAAACCATGTATTAGTCTGCCAAATGCTTAGACACAAACAATAGTCTACCTATATGTATATATTTGCCAACTGGCCATGAAATAAGTTAATTGTAAAGTCATCACATTTTAAGTAGTCCAGACATTACATTTTTATTGCCTGTGTCCATGCAAATATAATAACCCCATTGTTCCCTACAGTATTAAGTCTTCTCCATGTTGCATTTCATCTTCCAGAAAGCACAGAAGAAAACCCATGCACTATTACTATTCCTAGTATGTTACAAAACAGTTCTGAAAGACTTCATTAACGTGGTTTTCTACCCCAGCTTCAACACACGAGTTACATTTCTTAGTCCTCCACGTTATATGCCCTTTTTCTTTTTTCTGCATTTTCAGAAGTGTGAACTACAAACCAGAGTACTGTAGATTTCCCTTTGAGTTCTATCATTTTAAAGGAGGCATCTAGTTTTATCGCTTTTTTGTGAGTATCAGCTTGTTTGTCCAATGTAAGCAAACCAGCAACTTTTCCCCCGTTCCTATGCATGTACCATGGTGACTCCAGCCAAAAGACTGCCTCATCGGAACCATTTCAGGAGCAGATCTTTTGCCTAAGCAACATCTCCCAGCCAAGAATCTGAAAATAACTTTAAAAAAAGCAATTTCCCTGCAACAAAAAATGCCTTGCAAAACCAGTAATGCTTTTGCTTGCTGACAGAAATCGTAACTCCAGTATGGAGTTAATTTCTATACAAATGGATTAGAAACAGATGAAATGTGCAAGTGAGAAGTCTCTTGAATCAGGTATTTAGCAATGTTCACAAAGGTAGATATTGCCAAATTCCTGCTGATAAATGCAATGTTTTCCTAGGAAGAATTTCCAATCCTCTTATTCACTATTCAGCAAAGGACCTCTGGTTTTACAAGCTTAGTTTCCACACTTGCATCATCTTTTGCATAGGTAATCAGTAAAAGCATTAACTATTTGAGGTGCTCCCTCCTCTACACCACCACCATTTCAGAAATCACATTCTTATTGCGACTTGCAAGCACCTGAAAGGAACCTCCTCATAACGTACAGTAAGCACTGAGCAATGCGGGAAGCTGCCTGCAAGATTTACATCTTGACACATGCAGTTTAAGCGAGTTTCCCACATGACTTGTGGTTTTTGGACAAGCTTCTAGTCTTGTGTTATTTTCAGGTTCTAAGTACTTTTGAATTTGGTTCAATTTACACTGCACTTGCACATTACAGTATTTGTATTTGAACATCTTCACTACTACCTTTTACAGTAATTTGTGATAAAAGGAATTGTGTTTTTGAGCATCACAACATATCCCACATTCAGTGATTACTACATTGGCTGATGTTTGTGTTAACAGTACAGTATGATTAAGACTGCAAAGATACAAAAGACCAGACATCCAGAACATAAATACTTATTAAGTTGCGTGTACAGAGAAGACCATGATGGCTGAAATTAAGGTAGTCAATTCCTATTAGTTCTTGCAATTTACAGTGTAACAGATGAAATTATGTTTGGTTTGAAACCTTAAGCTCCCTACACATACAAATGAACACCAATCTTTACACCTCATTTCTAATCTCTTGCACATCCCTCGTCTACACAAGCTTTACTGACCAGTAGTACCCTGGTGTCCTACTCCTGTGGATGCTCAGGCACAGCCTATCTTTTTGCTCTTCCTGCCCTGTTTGCAGCAGCCCAGCCTGCTCCCAGGAACTGACTTCCCTGGCAGCCACCACACCAGCACTTCTCTACTGGAGGCGGGGTTCTGAAAGTGTCCTGGTGGGGAGCAAGTGTCCAGGGCAGATAAGGCAGATGAGAGCAGAGGAAGGAATCTTCTCATTCCCATCTACTTCCAAGCTACTTTACACCTTGTCAGGAGAGGGCTCACCCCCCCACACCCTCCCTTGGAGAAGGAGTTAGTAATTGCTGTAGTTCTTCTTGAACCAAGTGTTCCAACTGAATATAACTGAAAAAACAGTTAGCTATTAACAACCAGAGCTGGAAAAACAAGAGTCTGCTTGCCTAGAACACCCCAGCTATGAACTCTGAACACAGCTTAAGAAAGCTGATGAGATTACCTAGTTTGAGAAGTTTAACTCTTGCTTTTATGTAATACACAATTTTATTAGATCAAAAGAGCTAGTATTAAACTTACTAATACTTTCTTAATAACATACTTACTAATGATCTGGCATTCCAGAGGTGAAGAGCCAAAGAGTGAAACATTCAGCTGACACCCAGTAATTTGTTTTAGCCAAATGAGGACAGGGAGAAAGATGTTCAGAAGGTAACTAAATGTATTAACTGAATTAACACCATGACAGCAGCAGACGGATGCTATTAAACACAAACAGTTGCAGAGTGCAGGGAAACAGAACTATACACACTGCAGAAAAATCCAAATAAACCTGTTTTCCTAATGGCAAAAACCTGGGAAAGGGGCCTGGACACTACTGCGGATAGTTCACTATGGATTTCTGCTTAGCACGCAGACAACATCTGTGACAAGAAAAGCTAAAGTGATAGCAACAGTAGTAGGAAACACTGTGATCTTTGAAAATAACATTTGTAGAGATTGTGCTCTATACATCAGCTGGATTACAGTGCAGAGGTTGGGTTCTGTGGAATTTGGGTGCTTAGAGAAAGCAAGCGTTTGGGGCAGTGAAAAACTGCTGTAAGAAGAAACTGGATAAAACTGTGCTACTCACTCTAGAAAGCAGAGAAATGCTTCCAATACTAAAAACTAAAAGTAAGTAAGCTAGAAACATTCACTGCCTGATGATAAGAGCAGCGAAGCTGAAAGGTGAAAATTTAAAAGTATAAAAATTTATATTTAACAAGATATATGTAAGAAAAAAATATGAAAATTGATACTTTATGTATGGCACAAATAAAGCACTGCTGCTGCTAAGCAATTTATCAGAATTCAAACAGGGGCTAGACATGCACATGGATAACAATATCCAAGAATATCCAGAATTAATACGGTTATTTCACCAAAAGAATTTCAGAACTCAGAGGAAGATCACAAGTCAGGATTTAAATCAATCTCTAGTTATTAAAAAATCCAATCAAGTTTTTAATGAGATGGGAAGATTATGTCACATGTAATTCTTTCCAGTTCCAATAGTCTTTTCAGTACCTTAAGAGACAGGATGTTGAACCTAGAGATCTTCAGTACCTTAGAGCCAGGATGTTGAACTAGGTGTGCTACAGATAATGGTAACTCCT